GCATGCACCCCTACGTATACGTGTGTGTCCCCCTGTGCATGCCCCCTGCCTCCCCCATTTTTTGTTTCCAGGTTGGCGCAGGAGGCCTTCAAGGCCCCAAAACAGGATGTGAGGATGGCACGAACCCCCAAAATGGAATCTGGGCACCCCCCCCATGCATGTACCCCCACCCCCGTGATGCATGCACATGTCCCATGCATATACCCCCATGCATGGGTAGCAGAGACCCGGAGACCAGCTGGCTGGCAGGAGGCGCGTGCCCATGTGCGGGGGAGCTGGGCTGGGGTGACGGCTGGCTTGCCAGCTGAGAAGGCTCCGGATGCCACCTGTGGCATGCATGCCACAGGTTTGCCACCACAGACCGAATCTATTGTGGTGGTGGAGATACACCTTGTCCTCATTCATAGCATGCTGGCCCAAGGATAGTTGAAAACATCTAGAAGCTGCCAGAAGTCATTCTTGCTGACGCTAGTTTTAACCTTGTTGAGATGCAACTCATAAATCCTAGTTTATCTTTTCCCCGGTCCTATTTTTTTCTTCACAGATATTAGTCCAGGTGGGTCTTTACGCCATGTTTCGGGATTCCAGGTTTTTCTCCAAACCCCTGCAGTTCAACCCAGAAAGGTGGATTAAGGCTGAGGACCCCAGATATTTCAGAGGATTAAGCTTTGGCTTCGGGCCGCGTCAGTGTCTCGGCCGCAGAATTGCCGAGATGGAGATGCAGCTGTTTTTAATCCACGTAAGTCCATTTCTAGGCCACCAAACCACTACCGGCTCGGCCGAAGTGGTCCAAACCAGTAGGAACCCAACTTTGACTTAGATGCGTGGGAAGGTCCTCAGCTACCATTTGAGAAGATTGTGTAAGAATCAGGACTTGGCAGATCGGGGCCAAATCAGGTGACATGACGACAGAAGAGAATTTTTTTTTTTAGCTCAGAATGGAAATGTGGGGCCCTGCAGACGTTTCATCACCCAGCTAGGTAACATCTTCTAGGTAACATCATTAGTGCCCTGATGATGTTATCTAATTGGGTCATGAAACGTCTTGAAGAAAACAACTGAATTCAGAGAGCACCAAGGATCTCCTCCTCCTTTTCTTTTCCTAACCCTGCTCCTTCTCCTCTTCCTCCTCAGATTAACAGAGTTAGAAGGGACTTTGTAATCATCTAGTCCAACCCCCTGCCCTCCCCCTCCTCCTCCCCTTCCTCCTCCTATTCCTCCTCTCCTCCTCCTCCTCCTCCTCCTCTTCTTCTTCTTCTTCTTCTTCTTCTTCTTCTTCATCATCATCTTCTTCTCCTCCTCCTCCTCTTTCTTCTCAGATTAACAGAGTTAGAAGGGACTTTGTAATCATCTAGTCCAACCCCCTTCCCTCCCCCTCCTCCTCCCCTTCCTCCTCCTATTCCTCCTCTCCTCCTCCTCCTCCTCCTTCTCAGATTAACAGAGTTAGAAGGGACCTTGCAATCATCTAGTCCAATCCCCTGCCCTCCTCCTCCTCCTCCTCCTCTCCTCCTCCTCCTCCTTCTCAGATTAACAGAGTTAGAAGGGACCTTGCAGATCATCTAGTCCAACCCCCTGCCCTCCTCCTCCTCCTCCTCCTCCTCCTCCTCAGATTAACAGAGTTAGAAGGGACCTTGCAGATCATCTAGTCCACCCCCCTGCCCTCCTCCTCCTCCTCGGGTCATGACCCCCCCCCCCAAGAAAACAATCAAGCGTAGACAGCTCAGATGACCATCTGCCCAATGCCTTGCTACATAGAGACAGAGTTTTGAACTTTGAGGCTCACGATTTGGCAGCCCTAGGGTGACTTCCTCTGGTTCCCCTCCCCCGCTTCTTCTCCTCAGATGCTGGAAAAATTCAAGATTGAAATAAAGAGAGGCGTGGAGATTGGTACCACCTTTGGCCTCATCCTGATTCCAGACAAGCCCATCTACTTGACGCTACGGCCTCATCATTCCCATCAGTGAATGGGTGAAGTTTCCCAGAAGCCCCTGGTGCCTCTTTCAAAACACCTGGAGAAGGAACGGAGTTGTCCACTCAATCCTTAGGGATCCCAGTCCAATGGTGTTCCCAATGCCAGATGTTTACTCAACACAGAACTCAAACCAAGGTTGGGGCACAGCAGGAGATTCTTTTAACTCATATAATACAATTTAGATAAGAACGAAGATGATTTCCCTGCCCATATCTTCCTCTCCACGTAGCACTCTACTCTAGGTTCAATGTTATTAGATTTAAGATTTCCTTCTAACTGGATCGAAGTACCTTCTAGCTGGATTGATTCTGCATCTCCTCCATGTTTGTGTTTTCCATAATGACCAATTAGATCCCTTTGAGAAGCTTTCAAAGAACGTATGGCATTTATAGGGTCTCTCAACTCTTGATTTCTCCTCTTGGGCAATGGTAGAAGGCTACTTCTGAAGACAGAGGCTGCCTTGAGTTGCCAAGGAAAACATCTTTTGGTAGACCTCTTATCTGTCCATTTCTCTGGCCCTTTATTAATGGTATCTCTGCCATGGCCATTGCAACCTTCTGAGTGATTATCTGTTGTGTGTTGGATGAAATAAAATTCTTTTTGAGTCTCCTGACAAACTGCTGCATTGGGTGCCTCTAGTGTCAACTCGTAAAGTTGCCATGGTGAAGAAAGGGGGAGGAGCTCATTCCACACATACGTTCGGCTAGAATCGGATCTCAAGATTACTACAGCAGGCTTGGGAGGGGCGCACCTCATTGGGGAATGTGATTTCTGACACAGACTGGGGGGGGAGGGATGGAACAGGGGTAAAGTTCAACTATAATTCAAAGGAGGCTCAGATCTGACTGCAATAAGGTCTTGCCAAAAATGGTGCTCTTAATAAATGACTGGTTTTCTTTTGAAACTTGGCTCGAGACTCATGAATCAATTAGGGCATCTTTTGGAAACCTGACATCTAGCAGATGAGGAAAACTATTCACCTCTTGAAAGGCAGCCCACCCTGAAAACTTAGGCCAACGTGACAAATAATGAATGAGGAATCTTCCTTTTAGAGTAACCATGGTTAGCTCCAAAGGTGCATCTTCAGAGCTGAAGAGGCTTCTTGGATGAGAAGCAAAACATCTTCAAGGAAAAACCAGAAAGTCCATTTGCCTCTTGTAAAAAGCACCTTTGGGGACAACCATGACCTGGATATGACTGATAATCTCCATAGACATTTAACCATGGTTAGATGTTAGGTGTCGTAACTTATAAAGCCCTTCATGGTATTGGATCTGGGTACTTGAGAGACCGCCTGCTGCCAATTATCTCCCAAAGACCCATTAGATCACACAGGGTTGGCCTCCTCCGGGTTCCGTCTGCCAGCCAATGCCACCTGGCTA